TGAATGGGACTAAAGCCTATTAAATAAGAGTTACCACAACGGCAACCCAACCTAGTTGACTGGAGATTTCAAAATCTAGGTTTAAAGGGACAACCGAGTTGTGAATGATTCAGAAGGATCACTAGGGAGTTAAACTCCTACCCATTTCTATGCTGAAATAGTGATGACTGCAGAGTTTTAGGTTAAGTAAAACTTTTAATGATTCTTATATCTCGGTTAACCTAGTGGAGTATAGCAGGATATTCTTCATAAGAATCACCTATGTGAGTGTGAACTGGGCCGGTTCTATGAGATTTGTGAAGGGCTACAATTCTCTAGAACACTCATGAATGACCAGGTTGTTCAGGGCCAAAATGAACACAATAGTGAGAACTAAACTGTGTCCGGGGATATACTGTGTGAGTTCTATTGTCTTGGTTTACACAAATGGCTGAACAGTTCAAGACATCATGTTCACTGTTTAGCTAGTAAATCCGATAGTGTCTCACAAGGGAAGGTTCAAAGCTAAAAGCTACCTATCATTTGTAGAATATTTTTAATTTCTTTACTCTCTTAATTTTAGATCATGTTGTTGCATTTTCTCTCCATCAAATTCAATTCATGTGAGGGATTGCTGGAAAATTAGTTTATATAAGGCTTATTTTGAGCCAACTTTGAGGCCAAAATTGTGTGGGCCCCAAACGTCTCTTGGGGTGGATCCGAAGAGGTGATGTGTTTCTTGCCGCACGGCAAGTCACACGGTAAAGACGGTTCGTCAAAACCATTTACGAGTGAATGGGAACATGACGTTGTTTTCGGGTTTAACATTAATTTTTTAGACAAAGTTCTTTTGAATTTTTTCAATAAAAATTATTGTGGGAATATAATTTAATATAAATTTGATTTTGGTTTCCTTAAGTGGTTTCCTTAATTTAATTTAATTAAACGATTCAAATAGTTTAATAATAGTATTCCAACAGTTGTAATTGTTTCACCAACGGCACCTTTTCCAAATTGTTTGGAAATTTGTTCTTAGCAAATGGACAAATCAAGTTGCACCTGTTCAATTTTATTGTACACCTTTTGCCTTCAATTTGATACCTTTTCGGGTCTAATTTTTTGCCTATAAATATAGATACATTTCTAGCAGTCAAGACAATTCGAAAAATTCAGTCTGCAATCTTTCAATCTGCTGTCCATTTTGTTCTAGTGCATTTATTCTTCATATATATAATTTTAGGAATAAATATTAAGAGAGTATAGAACACAAGGTTTGGTTCGCCGTACAATTTTGTTTGGTGTGCTACAACAATTTTGTGAAGATCATTGTATCTTGGGAGATAGACGCCACCCAACCGTAAGCACCGTAGCGCGGCGAATCTGTCTTAAGGACAGAGTGTCACACACTCGACTTGGTCTTTGAATTTCTAATTCGGTTCAATAAATAAATTCGGTACGTTATTTATTTATTTATTTATTTATTTATTTGAGTTTGTTTCGATTTATTTTATTTACACAGAAGATTGTTCCAACAACAATCTCCAAGAGACCAATAAAAAGTAATGTTGTTATGCACCCGAACATGGAGAATGTCATAGAAAATGGGTTGACAGTCCCAAGGGGGGTTCAATTCAGACACACAAAGCAATAGTTGAAAGGGTAAAATATAATTTAACCCCTAAATTAAAATCGAGTATTTTACATTTTATGAGAGTCATTCATGAAATCTCTAAAAATGATCTCATAGAGTCGTCTCATATTAAACCCCTCAGTCATGGGCCACTCGCGTGGGTTTAAATGTAGAGTTACATGCTCTGTTTAGCATAATTAGGTGATAGCTATGACATGAGGGTCATTATAATTTTCAGAAAAATTGATGGTATTTTTGTATTTATTAAAATCACAAGGTCCCTTCATTATTTTATGTTTTGCTATGATTGTTTTAGATTTTTAAAGCTAAGAGGGCAAACATTCAGAACCTGACAACTATCCTTCTTGAGTACGCCAATGGAGTGGGTCAATTTGTTAATCACAAACCTCAAGATTTTTTTCTCCCCTAATATATTCCTACCTTTGACTGTTTTCAAATGGTGGATTTGTGCGAAATTGGCCTCTAGGATTGAAGGCCGAGTTACCAAATCAATTTTTCATGGCATGGTCATTAATATCCAGAAATCATTAACGTTTGGTATACCAAACACCTCTCTTATGTTGGTCGAGCCCTTCTTATCAAGCATGTGCTTAACGCATTGCCTCTATTCTCCATGAACTCATTTTAGATCCGTTTGGAATGTTAGTTGACTTTTTGATTATTTTAGTCTGTAGTTAAAAATCTCATTTACGATAGATTCTTTTTTGATTTTTGTAAAAAAAAAATGAAATGATTATGATTTGGATGTGACATTTTATCTTATTGAGCTAAAAAGTCTATTGTCTTTTTGTGATTATTTTAACCAAAAAATCGCATTTTACCTTATGCCAAACAAAGGTTTAGTCTTTCCCTTGGTTATTAGCTCTCAAATTGAATCTTCCTGTCATTAATCTCTTCTCTTTGGAATTCAGTAGCATATTCTGATAAAACCCCTCAATAAGTTGAACTAGGGTTTCTCAGCCCACTTGATTAAGGTAGGTTCTTTCTTAATTCTGTGTATAATCTTCTGTTACTTCATCCACGTACTCGCCTACAGCTCCCTTCATTTTGAATTCTTTCAACAAATTCCTCCTTTAACTGGCTGGAGTCCTCTAATTTTAAGTCGGTCGAAATAAGTAACACAACCAAGGTATTTAACTTGAAAAATCATCTCATTTTAATTAAATAATAAGAATTTTTTTATAAATAAATAAATAAATAAGAAGGAAAGAGCAATCTGACTAAAGTGATGGTTTATCTCTCAGTTCCCTTGCAGGATGACCAATTACATCTGAAATAACTCAAAGCCAAGTAAATCATCTCTCTTAAATTTATATCACTTTCCCACACATGCATAAATACACACAGAAAAATGAATTTTTTACGGTTAATACAAAGACTTTCACAAGCATACAGGCAATCCCTTTTTACATTAAATAAAGGAGAGGGAATCAATAAAATTCCTACTACTCCTTAAGCCATTGCCCAATCTCTCTTATATATGTTCTTCCAAAACATACCTTACAGTACTAACTGAAGAATTTAAACAGTAAACAGATACTCACCACAACCGGTGATGTTATTATATTACGGTGGTTATTGGCCTCAGCTACTTTCACCGGGGTAATTGCACCCATCGGAACCTATGAGACAAAGATAAAAGAGGGAAAATATTTGAGTACACAATAAGATTGGTGTCACTTTCAATCAAAATAGACTCAAGTCAAACTCATTATTATTATTATTTCAATTGATAGAAGATAAATCATAAATATTATGAGAATTCTATCTATCAATTTGGACATTCAATCATGAAAGAAAGTCCAACAAATAGTCAAAAAAAAAAAAAAAAGAGAACCACACGTCAGTAAAGAGAATTTTTTTGAAGTCCTTGGCTGTGGTTTGATCAAGGATTTGAGAAGAAATTTACCGAGGGAAATGAAAGTAGAATAAGAACGTGAAAAAAGTTTAGTTTATATTTCATTAATTTGTTTCCATCTCTATTCCTTTCCCTTCACAAATTCCTACTCAAATACATAATCCAAACCAATTTGGGGGTTTTTTTTTTTTTTTTTTTTTAACTCAGAAACGCCAAAAGGCTTACAAAACATCCGCATACAAAGGAGCAGAGAGCTCACAGGGGGGATTGGCAACCCAATCTAAAGAAAGCAAGCCCTTTAAGTTCATGGAAGCGACCCAATGAGCTACACGGTTGCAATCTCCAGGAGACCAATAGAAAGTAATATTGTTACGCACTCGATCATGAAGAATGTCATAGAAAATGGCTTGACAGTCCCAAGGAGGGTCCAACTCGGACACACAAAGCAATAGTTGAAAGGGTAAAATATAATTTACCCCCTAAATTAAAATCAAGTGTTTTTCATTCTATGAGAGTCATTCACGAGATCTCTAAAAATGATCTCATAGAGTCGTCTCATGTCCAACCCCTCAGTCATGGAACACTCGTGTGGGTTTAAATGTAAAGTTACATGCTCTGTAAAGCATAATTAGGTGATAGCTCTAACAAGAGGGTAATTATAATTTTCAAAAAATTGATGGGTATTCTTGTATTCATTAAAATCACAAGGTCCTTTCATTAGTTTATGTTTTGCAATGATTGTTTTATATTTTTAAAGCTAAGCGGACAAACATTCAGAACATGACAACTATCCTTCTTGAGTACGCCAATGGAGTGGGTCAATTTGTTAGTCACAAATCTCAAGTTTTTTCTCCCCTAATCCTACCTTTGACTGTTTTCAAATGGTGGATTTGTGTGAAATTGGCCTCTAGGATTGAAGGCCGAGTTACCAACCAAATCAATTTTTCATGGGATGGTCATTAAAATCCAGAAATCATTAAAGTTTGGTATACCAAACACCTCTCTTATGTTGGTCGAGCCCTTCTTATCAAGCATGTGCTTAACGCATTGCCTCCATACTCCATGAACTCATTTTGTCTTTCCCTTGGTTACTACTCTCAAATTGAATCTTCTTGTCATTAATCTCTTCTCTTTGGAATTCGGTAGCATATTCTAATAAAACTCTCAATAAGTTGAACTAGGGTTTCTCAGCCCACTTGATTAGGGTAGGTTCTTTCTTAATTCTGTGTATAATCTTCTGTTACTTCATCCACGTACTCGCCTACAACTCCTTTCACTGTGAATTCTTTTAACAAATTCCTCCGTCAACTGGCTGGAGTCCTCTAATTTTATGTCGGTCAAAATAAGTAACACAACCAAGCTATTTAACTTGAAAAATCATCTCTTTTTAATTAAATAATACGAATTTTTTTATAAATAAATAAGAAGGAAAGAGCAATCTGACTAAAGTGATGGTTTATCTCTCAGTTCCCTTGCAGGATGACCAATTACATCTGAAATAACTCAAAGCCAAGTAAATCATCTCTCTTAAATTTATATCACTCTCCCACATATGCATAAATACACACAGAAAAATGAATTTTTTACGGTTAATACAAAGACTTTCACAAGCATACAGGCAATCCATTTTTACATTAAATAAAGGAGAGGGAATCAATAAAATTCCTACTACTCCTTAAGCCATTGCCCAATCTCTCTTATATATGTTCTTCCAAAACATACCTTACAGTACTAACTGAAGAATTTAAACAGTAAACAGATACTCACCACAACCGGTGATGTTATTATATTACGGTGGTTATTGGCCTCAGCTACTTTCACCGGGGTAATTGCACCCATCGGAACCTACGAGACAAGATAAAAGAGGGAAAATATTTGAGTACACAATAAGATTGGTGTCACTTTCAATCAAAATAGACTCAAGTCAAACTCATTATTATTATTATTTCAATTGATAGAAGATAAATCATAAATATTATGAGAATTCTATCTATCAATTTGGACATTCAATCATGAAAGAAAGTCCAACAAATAGTCAAAAAAAAAAAAAAAAGAGAACCACACGTCAGTAAAGAGAATTTTTTTGAAGTCCTTGGCTGTGGTTTGATCAAGGATTTGAGAAGAAATTTACCGAGGGAAATGAAAGTAGAATAAGAACGTGAAAAAAGTTTAGTTTATATTTCATTAATTTGTTTCCATCTCTATTCCTTTCCCTTCACAAATTCCTACTCAAATACATAATCCAAACACAACTTTAGTGAACTGGGGAGACTCTTGGCCAACAAGACTAGCTCTGTTGGTTCCTATTCAACCAATGATAAATTAGTTTGAATAACGTTTTGTAGGATTGTTGGATGGAATTTTTTTTAACATCGAGTGGTCGGTTGAATTGAGAAAACTTACTAGGATTGTTGGATGAGAGTGTGGCAGTTTGTGAGAAATCACAGTTCCATGGATTTCTGCCAGAATTTTGGTAGAGAAGATTCATGGCATAGCTAGCATGTGATGCCAGTGTGTTTGGTTCAAAACAAGCTCCACCTGGTTGGATTGGACTGCAATCAATCCCTTGTGCACAAGCATAATCCAAATTTGCTTGTAATTGGGTATCTGATATGCCTGCCTTTGGCAGGCACCAAGATGCTTTACTTGACTTTGGAGATGGAGTCACTGGAGTTTTTGGTGTTGATGGAGTCTTAGAACAAAATAATTAATGTTAGATGGGTGAAATGGCAGCCTATCTTCAAAAAGAACAATAAAACAACGGTAACAATAGAATGAATATAGCAACTATTATTATCATATATGCGGCTAACTATCAATACCTCTGTAATAAAAAATAAAAACTATCAATTCCTCTAACAAAGCATGCAAGTGTCGATTAAATATTGCGCACATTGATGATATACATGACAATAAGAGTATCATCAATCAATGAGAAATTTTATGTTGGAGTATTGAAGACTACACAGTTGAGTTAGTGAGAAATAATGGGTGTCCATCTAATCCTATTTGGTTGCACTTAATATTTGTTCATGACTTGTAGTGCAATTCATAGTAGCTAACCACAAGGAGCCAGGTAGCTCTTTCAAAGATGGCCACCGGAATTAATTCACATATATGAATGTGTATGGGTAATATATATTATATATATAAATGCAATAAGAAATTGGATTACCTATAATATCACTCAAATTTAAATTTTGAATAACGTGAATTACACTCAAAATCAATCTGATTTACATATTTTCTAAATACATAATGTTACTATTTGAATAAAAGGTGCACTTCACTCACCACAGATGAGACAGCATCTCTATTGGGATTTCTCATAACTTTTCATAAGTGAATTTCCTAAAAGGATTGTTTCATTGTATAATTCGAGGACACTTTAACACACTCCAATCACATGAGAGCTAAGTGATGTATAACTGGAAATGGTTGCCACTCCTTTAAGTGATGATTAACCTAAGCTTCCTTTAATGGGACTCTGGGCCGTGGACCATGGTGCTAACTTATGTATATGATTGACAGACCAAAGTGACCAACCTTACAGTGATATACATGGATACTCTCTCAACTTTAGTATCAAGGGTTGCAACTTGCAACCCCTTGAGGCAGGTGCCCATGCCATTTGTAGTTTTGTTGGGCTTAATTTGCCCCACCATGTACAGGAGGAGGAGGAGGAGGAGGTTGAGGTCCTTTTATAGTAGTTTTTTTTTTTTTTTTTTTTCAAACAGTTTGTCAAGCAAATTTTTTATGTTTTAAAAAAACCAAGAACGAAACATTAAAAAAAAAAAAAATGACAGCAGGAACTAACTTTTTTAGCTAAAAAATCAAAAAAATAACTATTAAAAAAATCAAATATTTTCTCTACTTTCTTAACGTCTTTTCATAAAAAGACAAAACGCTAACTAAAATAGCTAATTCACAAAACAACCCTAAATAAGCTTGGAACCATTTGTAATCCTACTCTCCTGCTATCCTATCCATAATGTAAATATATGATGTCTGTTTAAGATAAGAACTTAGTCCACCGAAATAGAGGTAGCTTGACTCCACCCGAATGACGTGGCCAAATGACTAGCGTCAGCCTTGTCAACCAGCATCCGTCCGGATGACCGGCATCCACCTAGATGACTAGCCGGACAGCCGGACGGATGTTCATGCAAACGGCCGGCATGCACAAATTTGTGCAATTCAGCCGAGCCAAAATTCGGTGGATGTAACATTATTGTTAAGATAATAATGTATCAGAAAAAGTGAAAAAAGATCAAGGACTTTTATTATTAATATTATTTTTATGCCATATCCTGGTAGTGAAGCAATTACCGGGCTTGACTTGGAAAGGCCAGCATCATAGGTCATGGTTAAATCGGGCTTGAAAAGTCCAAATGATCGCTCAGAAGCTGGTCCAGGCTTCAAATCTTCATCATAAAGTGCAAAGAGATACGTATCCACTGATTTCCCAGGCATCAATGGTGTCCCCACCTTCGATCTAAGGTGTGCAATCAAATTACCAATGTAAGCCTTAGCATTGTCCATGCTTGGGCCAACCTCACTGTTATCTCCTTTGTATGGCCAACCAGTCTCAGAAATCATAATCTCAACACCTTGAAATCCCATTGAGTTCAATGCAGATCGAACTGCGTCTACCTACATATTATTGAATAGATCGATAGTATGATGTCCAAAAAACACATTTATGTTGACATAATACATTTTTAAAAAAATTACATACAAGTTTAACTAAACTCACCTTTTTAATTAAATGATATATTTTGTATTAAAAATTAGTAAATTATTTTTTTGAATGAGAAGTTCTCCAAGTATTTATATTTATTCTAATAGTTTACTTAAATATATTTTTCAATTATGATGAATGAATGGTATTATTGAAAAATAAATAAATAAATTATATCATTATGTATAAAATGCTATTCATTTTATTTTAAAAAATTAATCCATATTAATAACAATATAATAATTAAAAACACATTACATTTAATTATATGACATTCATTACATTTAACAAGCCCTCAGGCACCTATATCAATAAAAGTGAAATTCACATTTCAATGGGACAACTCAAAATAATTATAAATTTTATAGAAATTCAAATCGGTTTGTGTAATTTACACCTAAATACTATGAGATAAGTTACAACTCTCACTTACACCTTCATTAAAATGTAATTATTTTGAGTAATTTTTAGTAAAACATAACATTTTCAATTTTTTGTGGGGATGAAATAACATTTTCAAACCAAGATTTCAATTAATTTATTTTAAGGAGGCTTCTCTCTGGCCGAGAGTAGAAGGCTTATTCTGCATCTATCTCAATAATTTAAACCGCTCAATATGTAAGTACATCATAAAAAATCATGTAAATCAATGTGATTTAAAAATTCAATCAATGTAAATTTTTACAATAATAATATCCTCGATGACCCTAGGCATTTAATTGTTTGAATCCTCAATATAAGCCAAAGAGGCCACCATGGGTCAACAGCATTAACCATGGACCTCTCCATTATTTTAAAAATCATGTTTTCAACTTCAAACTCGAAATTATATTTTGGGTAAATTACACTTACAACTCAAAGGTTTGGATTTAATACATATCACTCCTGATGTTTGAGAAATTACACTAAATCTCTGTCATTGTAATTATTTAGACGGAATGAAAATATTAAACTCATGCATTCTCTCTTTTTTTGTTTTACTTTACTTTCTCTTTTTTTTCTCCTTTCCTTTAATTTTTTTTTTTTAATGTAATTTTCTCTATGCTTCTATTAAGAGTTGTTACCTTTAATATAAGTATGAGGATTGTGAAATAAGACTATTAATTACAGGAGTGGGAATATAATTTCCAAAATGTAAAGGGGTGGGTAATAATTGGACCAAACCTCTCTAGAGGGTGTCAATGTAATATACCCTTATATTTTTAAATCACAATGACTTGGAAAAATAAATTCAAAACAGCTGCAAAATCAATTTTCAAGCACAGTTTGGAAAATAACTGTAGTTAAAATTTGTGAACACTCTTTGTTGAAGTTTGAATGTTAGAATTTAGCTAACCTGGGCGTCGAACATGTTAGTGTACTTGATATTGGTGCCGGAGTCGAGTCGTCCTGAGTTAGGTTGAAACAAACAAAACGCCAGAGTCTCAGGCCTGGGATCGCTCTGATACGCAAAATACGGGTAAGGATTGATCGGGAAAGGCGAACCAGTAGCATTATTGAACTCCAACAACCCTTTCAACAAATCCGTAAAACTCGGATCGAAGATTCCAGAAGAAGGAGGCTCCGATTGCTTCAACACCGCCATCGAATGAACAGTCGAGACCTTAATCTTCCCACCCAAAGAGGCCTTGTTGAGGGCATTTTGGAGATTCTGCATCGCCGGCAAAAGCTGAGTCATCAGATTCCTATCGCCGGATAGCATCACTTCGTTGCCGACGGTGATCAGGATGATATTGCTGGATGGATAGAAAGGAATGACGTTGGAGTTAATCCAATTGCTTGCGAAGCTCGGATCGGAGGCCATGGCGGGGATGTCGCCGTTGGAGGCGCCGATTACGATTCCGATGCCGGTGTTGCCGAGAGCCTTGATGATGGCAGGGTCGGATCCGTATAATCTCACCTTTTCGATTGAGGTGGATTGGAGTAGCTTCGCCGTTGATTCCGGCGCCGGGAGGTTGTCGGCGATTTGACCATAGTTCACGCCGATGAATGGATCGGACTCTGCAAATATAGAGACGACGGACGATGAGTTTGGAATGAAACCACAAAAAATTCACATTTAAAAAAAAATATGTCAAATACCTTATTTTTCAAATTGACAAGTGTCTAAAGATTTAAAAAGTAAATTTTTAATTTTTTTTTTCAAAATAAATAACTAAAGAAAAAAAAGATTAAAATCTTTTCATTTTCATCGATAAAAGTTAATTATAAATATCTAGATTAGATCACATTTGCAAAACATTAATACTACAAACTCGCAAAACATTAATACCACAAACTCAAATTTAATTACTCAAAATTATCATTTTATAATTTAGATTTATTCAAACCCTACACCACACAAATTCAAATTAGTTAACGTGAGATTCATAATATTTTTGCTTTGCAAAAACATAAGTGTTATCTATGACCTTGTTCGGTATAGATTATTAAAAGTTAAAAGTTAATAATTAGAAATAAAAAATTAAATATACTTCTCCTTTAGCTTTTAGATAATCAATTTTTTTCAATTCATTTAAACTATTTATACTTAATAAATTATAAACAAAAATTATACCAAATAGTATGACATAAGTGACCTAGATAACAAAGGCAATTCCGTTGGCTACATTCATTGCATGTACGACCACATGGATTTGTTGCAGCCACCTCTGCTAAGCTCCTCCCATATGCTTCAGGCACTCCTAAAAACCACAACAACTTGCAAATTATTTTATAAAAACCACATTTTCCTTTTCTTAGTCACTTGTAAAATTGATAATGTACTTAGTTTTAAAAATTGAGAAAAACTGATAATATTCTCAGTTTTACTAAATAGGACATATTGATTTAAAAAATCTTAAATAGAACTTGAGTTATTATAATATTTGTGAATAAGACTTTTAGGTGATTAACTCAAAAAATAAAATAAAATAAAATTTTAGTTGGTTTTGCCAAGAGGAGCTTCTGGAAAACGTTGACAAATCAAAGTGGTCCAATCCGTTGAAGAAATTCTATTAGAGACTGGGTTGTGTAATAAAACAATTAACAATTGTTTGAAAGTGATTGGTTTGGTGAAATCAATGCTTTTGTATGTAAGTCGGATTTTGTGGAAAATGATTGGGCGCTTCTGAAGAGTAATGTGTTCTTATTTTTCATTAATTATCATATATTAGGTCTTTTAATATTTTTTAATTATTTAATATAAAATTATAAATTTCACTTTTTTTCATCAATCATAATATCTTAGAATATTACGTGATACTACTCTGACACTATCTAATAATTTCTCTCAAACACACCTGAATTTCAGATAACTCCGTTGAATTCAAAATCATGTCAAAGCCTCAAGCCCCCGCATCAATTGACACAGATACATACATATAAATAATTCAACTGGCCTTTGTGCATGTTTTTTGTGGAATTGATTGTAAGTAAGAAAGAAAACAGAAAAATCCTGAGGAATGAAATAGATACTAGGAATTGGACAAAGAAATCATGAGATTTGTTTTTAATTTAGGTTTTGTTTGGCAAATGAGTTGAGATTAATTCAGTCTATTAAAAGATAAAAAAAAAATTAAATAATTAATAAGATAAAATGTCACATTCAAATTATAACTTTTGTTTGAAATGTGAATTGATTTTCATTTTTTTACTATTTTAATCTGAAATTAAAAGTTCTGGTTTAGAATGGATTTTTAAAATTTTTTTAACTTTTATGAGAGAAAAAAATAAAATTATTATGATTTAGATGTAACATTTTGTCTCATTGATTTTTTAGCCTATTTTCTCTTTTTGTGACTAAAATAACTAAAAAAATCTATGTCAAACATAACAATAATCATTTTACTTTTATCTCATAAAATTATAAAAAACAGTCAAAATTTATTTCCAAACTGAATTTTTTTAGTAAAGTTAAAATAGTTTAAAAATCAAATTAAAAAAATTCTTTCCAAGCGAAGTTTAATATAGTTTATGAACGACAAATACTGAAACAGAAAAAGAGTAATGTTATTGACCTAAAGTTCTACCAAAATTTTTATCAAATGTCTCACATAATAGTGTAGGCCCATATGAACCTTACATTGTGAGACATTTGATAAAATTTTTAATAGAATTTTTGAAATCAATAGTATTTTATACAGAAAAAAAAGTAAATGAACTAATCAAAATCGACATGTCGTTTTCAAACAAAATTACAGATGAGAAAGTTAGGCAACACAAAAATGAAACTAGTTTCGAACGAATTAATGACTTACTTGCCACGTATGCTACGTGTAGAATGAAGATAATGAAGAAGGCTGAAGTGTAATGAAGAGTCGCCATGGCTGAGCTGAGCACCTCTCTCTCTCTCTCTCCCCCCTTAATGCTTTGTTCATGGCGGGGAAGAGATATATATAGTAGTTTTTAAAGATCCAAAACAAAAAGAGCGAGGGCAAAACTGGAAAGAGCATAATTCACTGCACGTGGGACCACTCTAACATTTCCACTTTGTATTGATACGTGTGCAAAGGTTAAAAAGGACAGAAATTATTTTTAAAAATAATTAGAAGTTTTTTTATAATGTTTGGTTTAATTTTTGAATCATAATTTTAATTAAAAAAATATTTAAATTTTTTCTAAGATTCAAAATACAACTCAACTCAAATTATGATTCTAAAAACTAAACAAATTTATTTTTGGAAAATGTCTCGTAGCTCAAATTTTGTGGTTTAAAAGTGGCTCAAATGGCCAAAACGACGTCGTTTTGGCCATTTTTATATTGTTCTGTACTCAAAACGACGTCGTTTTGGCCATTTGAGCCACTTTTGAGCCATAAAATTTGAGTTACGTAGCATTGTCGTTTATTTTTTAAGTTCAACTCTCTCCAATTCGTCATTTGGGAGAGTTTCTTGTTCCTGCTTGTAAGAAGAACTACCAAAAGTCTCGTTTTAATGAACTAAACTATTTATTTGTGAAGTCTTTCGTTTAATAATAATCATAATCTTTTTATACACATAAAATTAAGTCAATCTAATAATCGTAATTTGTTCAATTTATTGACGTAATATTTTTTTTAAATGATATTTATAAAAAGATCTTACAAAATGAATAATTCAAATTATCGAAACAAAATTCGAGATGAACCCCACAGGCCAGCACAATACCCTCCAATCCAAATTATGGACTAAAGGAAACCGGTCTTTTTTTTTTCTTTAAATGAAGCTAATTTATTGGTTTAAATAAATCCATAAATAAATTAAGATTTTTTATGTTTTAACGACACAAGTTAACGTGTAAAAAAATAAAATAAAAATATGTTAATTTTTTATAGTGATTTTTTAACATTTTCACTAAAACTTTCATCGTCTTTATTTGTTTTTCAAATAAATAAATAAAAACTAATTTAATAAAAACAAATATAAAAAAGATATTTTAAAATTTTAAAAATTAATTATGACCTCCCAAAAGATAAATTATATAAAAATAATAAATACTTTTTTTATTTCTTTCACCAAATTAATTTTTAATATTTTAAAAACAAAAATCTGAAATAAATTTATAAAAATCAAACCAAATATAACCTTTATCGTTCCCAACAAAGCGTACTTTTTTAAAAATTAAATTCATTTGATATAATATTATTCTTATTTTTTCAATGATAATTTTAAGAGATTTGAATTTGACTTTTTGACCAAAAAAAACAAAAAAAAAAATCACGATCAACCTGTCAAACTTTATCAAGTAAAACATTAGTTTATAAGTCAGCTTAAGTATATTATTATCTGTTAATTACTAAAAATATGGGGAGTTTAACATTTTTATTTATAAAATTTGGGAGAACTGCATGCTAATTTGTTTAACTAAATGAAAATTTTATTCATAAAAATAATTCAGATAACTATTCTACAAGATAGAAGTATGCCCAAATTAAACCATATCATTATATATAAATTTTTTATTTATATATCAATACTGTTAATTAAAAATATTTATAAAAAAAATAATATACAAATTTAATTTTTAAAAAATGTGCCTTATTTTGAATGATTAATAACTTTTTGAGTTGAAATGATAATACTCTTATAAAAAAAAATATTCCACAATTTTAAAATATTGTGCCTTATTTTGAATGATTAGTAGCTTTCCTAAAATGGGTAACTACATTTTTTTTTTTTTTTTTTTTTTTTTGGGAGGGGTGTATAACACTTTATTGATTTGAAAGATTATGTAAGTAATGTCATATTCACGGGTGTTTTGGAAAAGTTAGTAAGCATGTGTTTGGCAAGGGTTTTTTCAAGTTTTTTTGGTTATTTTAGTCAGACCAAAACATCACATCATTAATGGCGGGACCCACTGCCACCTAATTAGTGGGAGCACTAATTAGTGCTCCCAAGCATTTTTCATGTAAGTAATGTCATATTCAGGGGTGTTTTGGAAAAGTTGGTAAAAAGTTAATTTTTGATTTTTTCCTAAATTTTTTAATTTTTTGGAAAGTGATTTGAGAAGTTGGTAAAAAGTTGACTTTTTATTTTTTAGTTTAATATTTATTTATAATGTCAAATTAAATTAAAATGACCAAAATACTTTTATCCAACATAAAAAATTTATTTTTTTATTTTTTTGTCATAAGGCCTAATTTGTAATTTTATACCTAGGTTTTTGGCCCTTCTCAAACTAATTTTGTTGCGTTTTTAGCTACTTACATTTTTTAAAAATGATCAAAAACATGATTTTTTTATGAAAGTTACCAAAACGGTACTCAGATATTCAAATAGCATCAAACTAAAGTAACGCCAATGCCCTAACTTATAGCTACGGCAGTTTCAGACTTTCATGCAAGCCACTTATGATAGGATGGACATTTCAGTTTCATCTGCAAAGTTTATCCCTTTGAATGAGACAGATTTATTTTATCAAAGGGTCCTGTTATGGTGTGCAACCCTTTAAGGTTGCACATCATATGCAACCAACGTAAAAGGTATAAGTGGAAGGTGTAAACATGAAACAGGACAGCAAACAAAAAATGCGTAAGTGTAAGGTGTAAGTTGCACACTTAAGAAAAGTCCTCCATCAAATACTTATGTGAGTTAGAGATAAAAATTTTGATTATCTACAATGCGGGTGGGGGCGAGGACAAGGGCGAGAGCGGTTATCGCCTTTCCCGATCTAATCTCGATTTGATATAATTTATAATATATATAAATAAATAATATAATTATATATAAAAAAAGAATATTAAAATTCTGTAATTTTGTTTAAATATAAATAAATAATAATTCTAAAAATTTCATTGTTTATATATATGAAAATCAGAGAAATTATTTAGTATATTAAGAATTTAAATGATTATCAATTTTTTTAACTATTTAAAATATGGTCAGATATCCGTAGAAGCAAGGACGAGGTTGAAAATTACACCCGTAACGGAGTTGGAGCGAGGGTGAGGTTTGAAAATGAGAGCAAAAACACCCCGGGCCATCCTTACTCAGGCTTGGTTTGGGAAGTGAGTTGGCTTTTTGACTTTTATGAATCACAAGAGGTGGCGTTGGTTACTCTCATCTAACTAAAAAAAATATAGGAGAAATTACCAATAAATCCTAAATTTGAGAATGTTAAACCATTTAGTCCTGAAGGTTTTTTGTTGGACTAATAGGTCCTATTTCTCTAAAAGCTTAGTATAGGCCTTTTTATGTCAAACATTATTCATCAAACATCAAACATTAGCAACGTCAAAATTATTTATTAAACATCAAACATTAGCAACGCGAGGATTATTCGTATAATGTGGGTGAAAACATTAACAACGTTAGAATTATTCATCAAACATCAACCATTAAACATTAGGATTATTCATAAAATATCAAACATTATTCATCAAACATCAAACACAATCATTAAACGTTAGAATGATTCATCAAACATCAAACATTATTCATCAAACATCAGTTTTAGTTTAAAAAAAAAATTGAAACTATTGCTCGAGATCCATCATCAAATTCATTAGACATCAGATCGATCAGATTCATCAATCGAACATCGACACCATCGCCTCTGTTTTATCCATCCATCAACATTATGTATATATATAATCAATCCCTATTATTTTATATTTTAGGATCGTAAAAAGTAAGCGAACCTATGTATATATATATATATATATATATATACTAAACGAAATCGAACAATATGGATTCGCAAAATCCTCAAACGATCCTACGGTTATGTGAAGCGATTTGCCAAATCGGGATGATGGTGATGGTTTTGTATATTACAATGGATCGCCGCCTAGGGTTTCGCGAAATCGACATTGTTGTTGCCCTGTTGTCCGAATCGTTTGCAGAGTCCATAATGTTTCTTGCTGGCTATGAAACTCTGTTGGGTTTATTGGTGAAGCCGTACTTTTTTGTGGGGTTCATGGGTTTTTGAAGTTGCAGAGTAGTCTCTGTTTTTTGAATGTCATTTGCCCGATAGAAGCGTGAGGCATTACGGCATAGTGAAACTTCACAGAAACGTCTCTTTTGTTTATATTTTTCATTCCAAAATCATATTTTTTTTTCAAGCTATTTTCTTATTTGGTGTTTGGTTCGTAGTGGGTGACAGGGGAAATGGATAACAATGTTGTGACTTGACTTGTTCTTCTTTATAGAACAGTGATGTTTGATCAGGAAAAATTGTTTAGTTTGACGGATGATTTTTAGTGTTTGTTTGATGATGTTAATGCTGATATTTTGATGATGTTTGTGGGTGTTTCACGATGATCAGATTATCAAATCAAGAACACCCAATAGGTCCTAACATCATCAAAAATGTTTGATGATTAAATTTTTTGTTTTGGTGTTCGATGTTTTAGCATCTGTGTTTGTGGGTGTTTGAAACATCATAAAAAAGGTATATAATCTGATGTTTGTTTGATGATTATAATGTCTGATGTTGATGATAACCGGATGAACACCCACAAACATCGGATGAACACCGTTAAACATTAGGATTATTTTAATCGTTATTTTGATGTTTAATCGTTATTAAAAAAATTGTTTAATCATTATTTTTGATGTTGTTTTGATGATAATGTTGTGATGTTTAGTTTCAATTTTTTTAAAAATAAATTTGATGTTTTAATGTTTGATGAATAATGTTTGATGCTTGATGAATAATCTTAATGTTTAATAGTTGTGTTTGATGTTTGATTATAATGTTTGATGTTGGATGAATAATTCTAACGTTGATAACGTTTTCACCGAAATTATACGAATAATTCTGTCGTTGGTAATGTTTGATGTTTGATAAATACTTCTGACGTTACTAATGTTTGATGTTTGCTGAATAATGTTTGACATAAAAAGGCTTATAGTAAGCTTTTAAAGAAATAGGACCTATTAGTCCAACAAAAAACATT